TCCGATCACACTTTAAGCCGAAAACACCAGCCTGAGGATGGTGAGTGAGACCTCACCGAAACGTTGCCAAGACAGTCTCAATCTTACACAGGAAAAGACCTGAATACAACAAGATCAGCATACCTACATACATATACCTACAGATTAGCCATGTACAAGATTTTATTTCTTTTTATGATCCTTTAATCCCTTTTTATCGGGGTGAAGTCGGGGAGACTGAATGGAGCTGAGTGTTTGCTGGCTGGATTCCCTTCCTGAAGCCTACATGGAGTTCGTAGCAGATGTTTTTTCTCTCTGCGCCCTGATAGAGAAACATCTAGGATTGAACTCTCAACCTTCCGAGTGGAAGGCAAGAGTCAGAGGCCTCTGGCCACTGCGCAGCTCAGCCACATACAAAGAATAAATAAACACAAATCATACATTGTAGCTCAAACAGTAACAAGAGAGTGGCGACAACATTTCAGCCTCCCAAGACATTCCATCCCTGACCTCAAGGTAGCAGTAGTGAAACAGAGGAACGTCAGCAGCACTGTACAAGGAGAGACAACTAAATTACAATGCATTAAAAAAATGCAATCCATTAGAGAAGATTTGAATAGGGACAATGGGTTCTTAGACCATTATTTCCGTATGTGGCTTTCATTTATGCTATTGTGTAAACCCATTAGCTTGTTTTTCTCCACCCACCTTTCTCTTGCTTCCACTTTCTGTATTTAAAGTCCCCTAAGTCTAAGAGTGAAGCGGCTTTATTCATTTTTGTGTCATGAGCTGCTACTCATGAAAGCCTATTTCCCTAATGAAGTTGATTGATCTTAAAAAGTGCTTACAATGGGTTATAAAAGTATAATAAATGGTTGGGGTACACCCTTTCAGAATTAGAATCAATATTGTTCTTAACCTTGGGGCTTCAAAAATTAACCAGAGGGTTCATAATGTATCAGGGAATAACTTTTTGTTAGCCATTTTGATTGTTTAACCAAGCTGGAAGATGGAATTTAAATAAATAATAACTAGAAAATTACCTATCTAACAATTCTATTAACATGCCAGTACTCATTATGCTTAATTACTAGTTCCTTTGGAATAAAGATTGCATTTTGATGGAAAAGAAACACTGATGCTAATTAGTATGTTTAAATGTGAGGACCAAGAGATTAAGAATTCGATGCAAGATGATTCAAATGCATTATTTGAACTACAAAAAAAATTAGATTATCTTGCAAGGGGCAGTTTTTACAAAATGCAGGCAGTCCTCGGTTTATGGCCACAGTTGAGCCCAAAATTTCTATTGCTAAGTGAGACATTTGGTAAGTGAGTTTTACCTCATTTTATAAACTTTCTTGCCACAGTTGTTAAATGAATCACTGTAGTTGATAAATTAGTAACCCGTTTTTTTTTTAAAGTATATCTGGCTTCCCCATTGACTTTGCTTGTCAGAAGTTCATAAACG